CTCGTGGTTCCGGTGGTGCGTGCCCGGCGGTTTGGCGACCCGTGCACGAGGGATGGAGGTCTTCGATCAAATCCGGGTGAAAACCTGCTATTGGCGATTGCCAAGGCCGGCGATGGCGACGCTGTCTGCGTCGTTCCCTTCCTGAAGGCATCGTCGTGGAGAAGTTCAAGGCCACTCTCTGCTACCTCCGGGGAAAACCCTAGATCAGTAGATCGGATGACGGCGGCTCTCTGGTTTCGTTTCCCCCCTGGGGGCGTCATTCTTGGAGGTGCACACGGGCTCGAGGGACTAGAGGACGGTGCCTTTGGTGGTGCCGTCAGGGAAGCTCAAGCCCTAGCTAATGACATGCTGGTCAACCACTTGCTTATCGCATCTGATTGCCAAGCAATAGTGAAGGATGTCTCTGAAAGGCCAGGTGACAGTAAGGGAGCGACCATCAAGGAAATTGTTGCCCGATCGACCATCCGAGTTTGAGCATTGTTGCCTTATCATCCACAAGAGAAGAAATAGTAACCATGAAGCAGATAGCTTAGCGATTTTTTCCTTTTACTCCCTCCATAAAGAAATATAAGAGCATTTAGATAACTAAAGTAATAATCTAAACGCTTTTATATTTCTTTACAGAGGGAGTATCTTTGAATGTTGCCCGCAAAATTTGGAACAGTGTTGTTGATCAAAATGAAATGCAGCGAACTTCTCTAAGAAATGGTATTGAGCAACACTAGCACATCCTCGAAATAATTCGGAACCCCTTTCCCCACACCCCCATCTTCTCGATGGACGATATGGCTCCGACAGTTACCACCATTGTCGAAGTTCCCATCTCTTCTATTCCCGCTTCTCCCCTGCTCCTCGCCCCCTTCCCATGGAGGTGCGGATCCTGGCTTCTTCCCTGCAGTGCTTAGCGGGGACAATGGGGACCATGATGTCTACCCGGCGATGGCTTGCCTCGGCATCGACGCCTCCCCCGATGGCATGGTTCCCGGCGACATGACCCTAGCCCCATTATGGTGTCGGACAACAAAGAGTCGGATGCAATGCCTCACTCTGACTCCCTGCGTTGACATCCCTCTAGTGGTCGCATGCTTCGGCGTTGTTGACCTACATGAGGCGCCTATTAGTCAATTATGTGGCATGACATTCACCATAAAGTGATGTTAGTACCTTATCTGATACCAACCAGCAATATTTGCACAATCAAATACACTGAAACGAAGCCTATTTGAATTTACATAGAAATTGAGGGGAATGGATAGAAAAGATAGTGCTTCCTCCGTTCACAAATACAGCATAAGATTTTCTAACCTTTTTCTGGATCGGATGTACTCCCTCCAGCTGTGATCTAAACGCTGGAGTATATGTTTTAGCATGTTTGTTCATTCATTTGAGTCTGTATGCAGAACATATTGAACTATCCAAAACATTTTGTATTTGTGAACAGAGAGAGTAGAATATTTCCTTCTAGAGTTTCAAGTAGCAACACTGCGAAAATACACAGGTGAACATGGTTCCATGTGCACCAACAAGAATAGTAAATTCAAAAAAAATACTAGAAAAATCAAAAATTATCTAAATTTTCTGGATGTCAAACTTGGTCGACCATCCTACACACGTAAGAAATTTCCTGAAGGAATGACAGCAGGGTATTTTATAGTGAAGAAAATACAGTCAGACCTTACTATTCCTTCAAATAGTGCTTTCGAATATAGCATATATTTTTTCTTCTTCGCCTAGAATGTCATCGGTGTCATTTCCTTGTGAAACTTCATATTCAAGTAGAATGGTCGACTATGTATACTAAAAAAGATTTAGATTTTTTTAGTTTTTTTTCCTAGTATTTTTTTCAAATTTGCTATTCATAATTGGTGCATGTGGAACCATCTCATCTCCCAAAAATTCCTGTCCCACTGGCAGACATTTTTAAAAGAAAAAATCAGGCTGGCTTATCCTACAGGCCTCCTCGCCGCTCAGCCAGCCAGCTGAGCTCACTCCATGGCCGCCACTGTCGCCCCACCGGCGGCCCCGCCGCCCACCTCCGCCACCATCCGCTCCCTCACCGCCGCGGGGAACCACGCCGCCGCCCTCCGAGCGCTCTCCTCCCTCTCGGCCTCCTCCGCCCAGCTCGACCACTTCGCGCTCCCGCCGGCCATCAAGTCCGCGGCCGCGCTCCGGGACGGCCGGGCCGCGCGCGCGCTCCACGCGGCCGCCCTCCGCCGCGCGCTCATCCACCGGCCCACCCCCGCCGTCGGCAACGCGCTCCTCACCGCCTACGCGCGCTGCGGCGACCTCGACGCGGCCCTCACGCTCTTCGCCGCCACGCCGCCGGAGCTCCGCGACGCCGTGTCCTACAACTCGCTCATCTCCGCGCTCTGCCTGTTCCGGCAGTGGGAGCGCGCGCTCGACGCCCTCCGCGGCATGCTCGCCGAGGCCCGCCACGACGTCAGCTCCTTCACCCTCGTCAGCGTGCTCCTCGCCTGCTCCCACCTCGCCGGCTACGACGGCCGCCGCCTCGGCCGCGAGGCCCACGCCTTCGCGCTCAAGCACGGCTTCCTCGACGAGGGCCGCGAGCGCTTCCCCTTCAACGCGCTGCTCTCCATGTACGCGCGCCTCGGCCTCGTCGACGACGCGCAGTCGCTCTTCCGCACCACGGCGGCCGCGTTCTCCCCCGGCGGCGGCGACGTCGTGACGTGGAACACCATGATCAGCCTGCTCGTGCAGGGCGGCCGGTGCGCCGAGGCCGTGGAGGTGCTCTACGACATGGTGGCCCTCGGCGTGCGGCCGGACGGCGTGACGTTCGCGAGCGCGCTCCCGGCTTGCTCGCGGCTGGAGATGCTCGCCCTCGGCCGGGAGATCCACGCCGTCGTCCTCAAGGATGGCGACCTCGCCGCCAACTCGTTCGTGGCGAGCGCGCTGGTGGACATGTACGCCGGCAACGAGCGGGTGGGCAACGCGCGGAGGGTGTTCGACATGGTGCCGGAGCCGGGCCGGCAGCTGGGCATGTGGAACGCCATGATCTGCGGCTACGCGCAGGCCGGCATGGACGCGGAGGCGCTCCAGCTCTTCGCGCGGATGGAGGCGGAGGCCGGGTGCGCGCCGAGCGAGACCACCATGTCCGGCGTGCTCCCGGCGTGCGCGCGCTCCGAGGGGCTCGCCGGCAAGGAGGCCATGCACGGGTACGTGGTGAAGCGCGGCATGGCGGGCAACCGGTTCGTGCAGAACGCGCTCATGGACATGTACGCGCGCCTCGGCGAGATGGACGTGGCGCGCCGGATCTTCGCCATGATCGACCCCCGCGACATCGTGTCCTGGAACACCCTCATCACCGGCTGCGTCGTGCAGGGTCACGTCGCCGAGGCGTTCCAGCTCGTCACGGAGATGCAGCTGCCATCATCATCGTCATCCACGGAAGATGAGAGGTGCATGCCGAACAACATCACGCTGATGACGCTGCTGCCGGGGTGCGCGGCGCTGGCGGCGCCGGCGAGGGGGAAGGAGATCCACGGGTACGCGGTGAGGCACGCGCTGGAGTCGGACATCGCCGTGGGCAGCGCGCTGGTGGACATGTACGCCAAGTGCGGCTGCCTGGCGGCGTCGAGGGCGGTGTTCGACCGGCTGCCCAGGCGGAACGTCATCACCTGGAACGTCCTCATCATGGCCTACGGGATGCACGGGCTCGGCGGCGACGCGGTGGCGCTCTTCGACCAGATGGCGGCGGGCGGCGAGGCGACGCCCAACGAGGTCACCTTCATCGCCGCCCTGGCCGCCTGCAGCCACTCCGGGCTGGTCGACCGCGGGCTGGAGCTGTTCCGCGGCATGGAGAGGGACCACGGCGTGAAGCCGACGCCGGACCTCCACGCCTGCGTCGTCGACGTGCTCGGCCGGGCGGGGAGGCTCGACGAGGCGTACAACATCATCACCTCCATGGCGCCCGGCGAGCACCAGGTGTCGGCGTGGAGCAGCCTGCTAGGCGCGTGCCGGCTGCACCGGAACGTGTCGCTCGGCGAGCTCGCCGCCGAGCGGCTCTTCGAGCTGGAGCCCGACGAAGCCAGCCACTACGTGCTCCTCTGCAACATCTACTCGGCCGCCGGGATGTGGGAGAAGTCGGTGGCGGTGCGGGCGAGGATGCGGCGGCAGGGCGTGGCCAAGGAGCCCGGGTGCAGCTGGATCGAGGTCGACGGCGCGATCCACCGGTTCATGGCGGGAGAGTCGTCCCACCCGGCGAGCGCGGAGGTGCACGCGCACATGGACGCGCTCTGGGAGCGGATGCGGCGCGAGGGGTACGCGCCGGACACGTCGTGCGTGCTCCACGACGTCGGCGAGGCCGAGAAGGCGGGCATGCTCCGGTACCACAGCGAGAAGCTGGCAATCGCCTTCGGGCTGCTGCGGGCGCCGGCCGGGGCCGCCATCAGGGTGGCCAAGAACCTGAGGGTGTGCAACGACTGCCATGAGGCGGCCAAGTTCATGTCGAAGATGGTTGGGCGTGAGATTGTGCTCAGGGATGTCAGGAGGTTCCACCATTTCCGGGACGGCTCCTGCTCATGTGGGGACTACTGGTAGAACACAGCAACGCTAAAAAATGTTTCACACCATAGAAACAGCATCCACTTTGACAAAATCACAGGAAATGCTCCTTGCTCACAATATCAGCAAGTATCTGGATTACTTATGAAGTGAAATACTCCCTTGTCTCAAAATGTAAGACAGTTTGGGGGGATGAGCTCGGCAGTAAAATTGGAAAAAATTCTGAATCTTTTTTGTGGTAAACTTCAACAAATTTTAGAACCTTGTTTACTAATGGTGTCAAAGTGCAGGTCTAACTTCTTATAACACACAGACGACAAAGCAGTTGTCAAAGGACAGGTCCAACTTCTTATAACACGGTGTCAGCTAGACGATAAGATTCGGTACGGGTACAGAAGGGTTCTTGTTTACTAATGCTAGAGCTAGAACAGCATATGGAAACCGCCTCGCTACCATAAACCGAGATAACTATCCATCAGTCATAACCTCTTCTGTTGGGAGCTGGGGATCTTGAGCGCTGGACAGGAGATCAGCTGTGATTTTACATAAAGATTTCATCAAACGACAGGAAACAGATGATGTTAACAAATGAAGGACTGGATAATCTTCCTCACAAAAAGAACTGAATACTCAATGCTTATAAGAAGATTTCTGCAACATTATTGTAAGATGGGATCAAATATAGGGACTAATCACTGAATTCAGAAGTGAACCATAACAATATAGGAGGCAGATAAAAAAGAAAATAGAACACAATAACTAATCAGACTAAAGTGGTTTGGCTAATTCAAATGGTAGATCCTAATGAAAGTATCTGCCAGCAGGACTAAGAAGTGCAACCATATGAAGATCAAACAAAAACAATGTGAGTGCATTACCTTCGATATCGATCACGAACAGGACTCCTGCTCCTGCCATATGCACCATACTGAGGACTTGCTGGACGGCCATAGTCAGGACTAGGTCGTGACCTTCGGTACATTGGGCTAACAGAACGGCGATATGAACTGTCATCCTGCCTTCCATAGCCACCACCTCTACTTGGCCTGTCATACTTGTCACCTGGTTCACTATCATCCCTGAAGGCATACTCAACAGAAATCACTCTGTCCAGTAACTTCCTGCAGAGGGGAATGAGAATTAATCAGGCATAGTTTTATACCACATAAGCTTATGAAACAGCATGCAATACATTTAGCAGTAACTAAAGTTTTGTAGAAAAACAGGTGGAACTGGTACCAACTACCAACATGCCAGCTGCAGTCAGATTCTGCTAAAAAACTGAACTTCTGTGGAAAAACAGGTGAAAGTGGTACTAACTACCAGCATGATGCCAACTGCAGTCAGAATATGCTCACTATATAAACTCAAAAACAGGTGAAACTGGCGCTTACGTCAAATGAGTAGCATCTAGGGCTTTTGTGGCTTCTTCCTGTGTTTCAAATTGCACGAAAGCAAAGTTCTTCCTTATCCGAACATTTGAAATCCTCCCAAAATGACCAAAATGCCTTTCAAGATCACTGACTCTTGTGTTGATCGGGTCAAAGTTAATGACAAACAGTGTCTTAGTAGGCTTGGTATTCACCGGTGGTTTACTGTAGCCATCACGGTCATCACGTCTGGTTCCACGGTCGCCCTGTTACATGAATCACCGGAAAAGAATTACAAAATGAACTGAAGCCAATATTATTTCAAATACCACCTAAATCAGACGGTAGTCAGCATATGACAGAACACAGTTTTATGACTTTCTTTGTGTAAGGTTTAGTGGAGTTGCAAGACCAGCAAGAGAAATTACCCGGGACCACTCCACTGAAAGTCTGCGTCTCCCAGGGCCAAAGGGATAACCATCCAGAGCCCGTATGGCATCATCACCATCACGCTCATCCTCAAAGTAGACAAAAGCAAACCCTAAAAAAGGTAAATCCACAAGTAAGAACCATATGAAACTAGATATTGTGCGAGTCATTGTTCACCAACCATATTTTTTTATTGGACAAGTAAAATACATGAAACAAATTCAGTCAAATTCAAACCTAACAGAAACAGAAAAATACTGCACCTGCACAGATCTGATGGTATCAACAGCGCTAATGAGCTTACTGGTAGATTCCATTCATGATGAGGCTAGGCATGGTGTTGTACAACTTATATCCAAAAGTTCCAAAGTAAGAAGGTATGACTGGAGGCACTGAACATGCTTCACCATTCTACAGACCAAGAGCCTCACAGACATTGCTTACTGAGACAGCACACATAGCAAGTTATCAAGTTGATGCCTGAGAGGATACTTCTAGTCATGGCATGGTATGGCATGATGGAACTGATGGCATGGCACAAATCGCGTGATGATTGATGTCAGTCCCGGCAAAACATGCTTGGCAGTGGTAACATATTACAGTGCATCAGGAAAATGGATGGCCAAGTGCAGGGAGTGATGGCCGGATGAGTCAGGAGTGAATGGAGGGTGAGTTGAGGAGCCCCGGGGGGAGCTATGTATGTTTGCCTCGGTAGTTCCTGCGTCAGAGTAAACATTTAAACATCGTAGCTGCCAGCTATGCATACATTGCTTGCAACTACTTTTTCTTACAGAACATGGACCACCATATAAGTTCAGATAGGTGTTCCACGCCATAAATTGTACAGAAGCATAGCTAACAGAGTTTAACACCCCAACTGTTGCATCATAGATTAATAAAACTGATACTCAGATCCTCTGTACAGGTTATGCTTTGTGTAAGGTGCCAAAAAACATTAAAGAAATTCACGGACCACCATATATATGTTAAGACAACACCACAAATTTTACAGAAGCATAGGTAACAGAGATTAGTGAAGCAAAATTACCATGATGATTGCATCACAGGTTAATACAACCAACATCCAGATTTCAGATCATCTCGAGAAATTATGCCAGGTGTAAGGTGAAAAGAAACATGCACAAGTCAAAACCTTAAGCAAACAAATTATCTCCAGGGTTCTTCTTTAATCAATTTAGAATAAAGGCAAGTTTTAGCATTGTCCCTCTTACCTCCTTTTTTCACATGGCAGGTAAGAAGGTAAGAGCTAATCAGACCGACTACTTAATGAAATCAACGGCTCATATATATTATATACTCTTACATCTCATGTGGAAAAAGGTAAAAGGGACCATGTTAAAACTGCCCCTAAGCTAATTGCATGCTCTAGTGAGACAAAAAATTACAAGTAGAGTTAAATTCGTTCTTCCAACTCTGTACCCAGGAAACTTAGCATATGAACAGATCGGCCCCAGGTGATGAGCACTGGTGGGGCAGGTAAGCACCTGACCGGCCACGAAACACCGGTAATGCGCATAGGCCTCAAAACAGGGGTGGCAATCATGAAATCAAATCCTTATACAGCTTCACATAAGTGTCCCACCCCATATATAAATTTTACGGAAGCATAGCTAAGAGAGATTAGCCAAGCAAAATAGCCAAAATTATTGCATCACATATTAGCACCACTAATATTCAGATTTCAGGTCATGTGTAGAAATTACGCTTTGTGCGAGGTGCCGATAAACATGCACTGATGATAAAAAAAATTCTAATAATCAATTTTAGAGAACTAATTACAGGTTAAATTCGTCCTTCCACCTTTGTTGTAGCCACAAAAAATTAGCATGAACAGATCGGGCCCGGGTGAACACAGGAGACGCGGACGGGCGTCGCGACGGGCGACGGGAGGGAGATCTGACGGCGGAGGGCCGGGAGGGGGGATGGTGGGGGGCGGACCTGACTTCATGTCGATGCGCTCGATCCTGCCGTAGCGGTAGAAGAGGCGGTCGAGCTCCGAGTGGCGGGTGTCGTAGTCCAGGTTCCCCACGAACACGGGCCTCATCCTCGCCGGCGCGACCCGATCGAGACCCTGCCTGCGCGCGCAAAGAGGAGAGCGAGCGGGTCAAAATCGCCGCCTGGGAGGGCGGCAGAGAGGGGGCGGGGAGGAAGTGATG